TACTATTAAGGTACTTTTGTAATTTTGATATAACTGGTTGTTGGTTAATAGTACTAGATTCATCACAAATCTATCACAGATTTGTCACGTTAAATCATGTTTTGATATTATTGAAGCATAATCTTTAACTGTACAGAAATTTAGAACAGTTAATTTGAAATGATTAATGTCGATAGATGAGGTTAGAACTGGGTCTTTCGTTTGATAAGTCAAATTCTCAGACTTTACTTTTGTGTTGAGTTCACAAAATTTGGATGTTGTTTCCCAAGATTTTGGGCCAAAGGATAAAGCCTAGATTTGAATTGGAGACAGTGATGCACCCGAATAGTTGAATATGTACTTTTCTGACAACAAGTGGAAAATGTTTTCACGAGTTATTAACTTAAGATAGTTGTTCAGTTTTATATTAACATCAGTGCGCTTCTTGGTGATGGTAGTAATGTAGCTGTCAAATTCTTTCCTTTCGTTGGTAGATACTTCAAAAAGACCGTGGTTCTTTTATGACAACTGTCGTTTTAGTTCCAGTAATCGAGGTCTAACATCATCAAACGATTCAAAGTACATGAATTATGAGAGATATGATTGCGGCTTAAATTCTTCCAAAACAGTTTGGGATATTCTTACCTGTCCATACATTTCTTTAAGAAAGAAATCATCTTATTCGCCCCTGTAAGTCTGACAGAAAAATACAGTTCCTTTATTGTCGAAGCATCCTTGCTATTCTTCTTATATCGAAACAAGCCCATTTAAACAAAGGGAAACACACGATTGCATCGAAGAAAAGTTTTTCTCTTCGACGGTGTTGTACTGATCTTGGTAACTAAGCAGTGGGATCCAGAATGCGCGTTTCATTCTATTTAGGACTCGTCAGCTGGATGTAGCTGAACCCTAGTGAGTGATGTTCTCACAAAAACGCGAACCCGGGACCGACTGCTTTAAACGCCAAAGCGTTATCCACCAGGCCACTGAGGTACGATAGCCAACTCTTTGGCAACGGGTATCAGTTACTGTATGAAACTTGTAATTCTCCATTGCTATACAGAATGGAGTTTCTCAACATTACTTGGCAAATGGGCTCCTATGAGGATGCCTTGGTAATCCCGGATATTCATGATGTCGTACTGATTCTGCTGAAGCTTTTTAAAGGTGAAGCGAAAAGATTCAGATGAAATGGCACCCAACATCATGACAGTAAGAGGTTGGTAACTATCCCTCTTAAGAAAACATTTCTGGTTGATTTCTTTGAACAACGCCTCCGGTAATCCAAAATAAACACAAAGTCTTTTGTTTGTGAACTGCTGCAAAAGACTTCTCAGCGTTGACTTAGCGTAGCTCATCAAATATAAGGTGAGCTATTTCACTGCCGGGTGAGAAAGAACCCCTACGATGTAGACTACTAGATAGGTGCTCGACAATTTGCTTTTCGTATTTGCCTACTTCCGCATACGATCGAAGTCGACAGGAGTGATCACCATCATCATCATTATCAACATAGGACCAGGCATTACTGCGTAACCGTCCGAGTTGCCACACCTCACGTCAGTTCATCAAGTAGAAAGGTAGTGAGGTGAAGGATGAAGATAAGTGAATGCAGTCAAAAGAAATATAAAGTACGAGAAGAAAGGAAAGAGCAGTGACAAAATGGTGAGATTCGGTATAGCGTTGTTAAGATGAGGATAATGTGTATACATCTGCGCCACTCACATCGGTTCTCAGACATATAACCTAGAGTCTCCAACCACTGGTTCCTCTTGTCCCGCCGACCCCAACCATCTAGTCTGCATCGTCCTACATGGCTTAAACCAACAGTCAGAGACTTCATGCATTGGTGCCGCCATGTTTTAGTCTGGCCACCTCGGGCCTTTTCCCAGCCTGCACCCACCTCAGCCAACATTGTGTGACAAGGCAATCGGTGACTGGGCATGCGTAGTACGTGTCCCAACCATCTCAGTGGATGAAGATTCATAACCTCGTCAACTGATTTACCTCTACTCCCTAAAACTCTACACCTGACTTCTGCATTACTCATGTGGTGACACCACGGAATACGTCCTATATTACGAAGGCAACGGTGGTCAAACACCTGAAGCCTTTTTATATCTTCCACTTTCAATGGTCATGTTTCACAGCCATACAGTTGAACAGACGAGACTGGTGTGCAGTACACGCGACCTTTAATAGACAAACAGATATCACGGCAGCGCCATAGGTGGCGTAAATTGGCAAAAGCGCTATAAATTAGTGGGAAGGAATGGAAGACACATGGTACAACTGATGATCACCTACGGTCATTGCAGGATTCGGAAAACACCGACGATAGAAGCCCAAAACAAAAAAAACTCCAGTGAATACTTACAACAGAACACTTTATAACGTTGGCAACTGCGAATGAAAAAGCTAGCAGACGACAAAAATAACAGAGAGGAAACCTTTTTTGAGGGAAGCATGCCAGGTTTTTGAAACCGCGAGCATCAGAAGGGGAGGAAACAATGAGTTGCGTTGTCAACTTTTCTAAACAATCCCTGACCGAATTCGAGGAACTTCTCCTTCAGAAAGAATTAAATTGCAATGCGAGAGACTCTTCAGGACCAGCACTCTTAGCATTCCTAGAGTCATCACTGAAGACTTCAGGACTAAACCCTGGGACCCAACAGGAAGTACGACAATTAATCTTACCCCTGACTAGGCGGAAGCAAAACGACGCTCAACTAATAAGTGAAGAACAGAGAGCTATGAAGAAACTGAAGAAAAAAATGAATGTCACTGTAATTCCAGCTGGCGAAGGGCAGACCACAGTAGTCATGAGATAAAGATGATTACATCAAAAAGGTTGAAGACTTACTTATGGACCAAAATGTGTATCAACGAATCGAGACAAATCCCAGTCAAAAGTTTGATGACCAAATCATCAAGACCTTGAACAAACTCATCAAAGCAGAACAAATTACAAAACAAGGTCAATGGCAAACGAAATCTAATGGACTTGTTCTCCGTTTCTATGGTAGACCAAGCGTACACAAACTGAAGATCTTACTATGAGCAATTATTTAACTCTCAGGAACCCCAATATACAACCTTTCAAAAAAACTCCCCAGAAAACTAAAACATCTTGTAGAATCATGCGATCACTCTATCAACTCTTCGACAAAATGTTTGGAAAAGATCAAGCATTTTCATATTGACAACGACGAACTGATGGTGTCTTTTAACGTCACAGCTCTATACATCTCAACTGAATTGAAACTGACTAAGGATACAACGACTCTCATCCTCGCCAATGATAAACGCTCTCGGAACACATACACACACAGCTCCAATGTTCATCTTTGATGGAATTAACTGATTTATGCCTCACAACACATTTTCAATTCAACGGCAAACTCCACAAACAGACAAAGGGAACACCAATGGGGTCGCCTATATTAGGATTGATTGCAGAAGCAGTAATGCAAGGATTGGAAACTGATATTGCCGTTGATCAGACCAAAACTGGATCTGATATGTAGATGACACGTTTGTCATCATTAAAAGAAACGAGTTGAAAAACGCTTACGAATTAGGGAACATTTTCGACGACATCACATTCACAATGGAAGAGGAATCAAATAAAAACCTGCATTTCTAGACGTTTCGCTCACTACAACGGATTCGGGGAAATAAGAAAATGAAGTAAACAAAATATCCACTCATATGGATCAAATCCCCAACTACAATAGCAACAACCCAACAGCATACAAAATCAGTTGTGTAAAATAATGTTCGAAAGAGCGAAGACAAACTGTTGTACATAAACTCTGAGAAGAATAAAAGAAAACTATTTGATGGCCGTCTTCCAGAAGAGCGGTTATCCATGCATCTTCATTAAAATGTGTTTTCATAATTAGGTGCCAACCAAGAAGTCATCCTCGGAAACCAACAAGCGGATTGTCTTATCTAACATGAGAAACGTCTTCAAGATCACGACTAGAAGACTGAAGTCTTTCGGAATCTCTGTAACTCACAAGCCAACAAAATCTTACTCTCTGTTATCTAGACCAAAAGATGCAGTAGCTAATGCAGACAAACCAAACATAACCTACAAAATACATTGCAGAAACTCCGAAAAACACTACGTTGGACAGAGTGGTCACCATCTTCGCATCCATCATCTTGAACACCAACTAGCAGCGAAGCGTAATGACATATCTTCGCTCATATCAGTGCATACAGACAACTGTGGACATGAATTTGACTGGGAAAATTGGACAATCATGGATATAGAGAGCATAAAGTATGCCATAAAATTTTAAAAGCTTGGCATTCAGATCAAGCAGTGATCAACAGATATATTGACAGTGACCCTGTCTATCAACCAATAAGAAGCAACAAGGTCAAATTTCAGGCCAGGAGGAAAAATAATCAAAATGAGCGTGTAGACAATGACAAGACGTTGGTAAAACAACCAATCACACATAAGGTCATCAGGACAAGCTACTTAATAAATTGCCGAGAGAACCTTATTGCTCACTTCCTTCTCAAGTTTGGAATGATGTTGTCTAGAATGATAATGAAAGCTCCACGTTTAAACACTCCAGCTTAGAGGACACAATCCCACCAAAGATATCCAAACTCTTAGAAACAAACATAACGATGTCTTGAATAAGCGGTAAACCAACTAAGACATCCAGTATGAAAGGTTAACTCCAACTCGTTGCGATGTCATTCTTTGCGAACATGATTCAAACAGCTATTCTCACAACTTTTGTTGATGACCAACAGAATCACTAAATTTAAAATCACTTATTATTCTACCAATAAAGTATTAAGATCAAAAAAGGCAGAAGAGCCCGAAAATTGTCCCTGTGAGTTAGTACAAAACATCCCTATTCGACAGGTATACATATGTGTGTGTGTGTGTGTGTGTTGATGATGATGCTGATGCTGGCGAAAATCATGAAGCTGATTAATGAGATTAGTCATAAAATTGAAATCACTAATTTATTACTAATCCATGAACTTACTCCTTCTGGTGTTATTTTCAAACCTGCAGAATCTTGAATTTTGAATTCTCTTTCTTCTTCACACTCTGGATTATGTATTATACTTTTTTCTTCCATTTGTTTTTGAACTTCTAATTGTTTTCTTTTCAATTGTTCAACAGTTGGATTATTATTTCTTAGGGAAAATCCAAACATTCTACCCAGAAGAGATTTTGATTTCTTTGTTTCTTCCAAATCGGGTCCTTTATAACTCTAGTGATATGAATAGGTAAAAACTAAGTTAAATACATCGAAGAAAAGAACAACAGGACATAACAATAAATTGAATCAGTTTCTTATTGATCTGAAACTAGAATAGGGAGTAGTAATACTCATAAAGTGAAACTTTTGATGTGATAAACTACAAGAAAGAAATGCAAAAAAGGGATAACAGTGGGGATTAATTGGAGTTTTCTTTGCGCAAAGGCAAAATGTAATCAAACGATAATAGTAATAGTAATAATAATAATAATCTAACAAAACAACCATGTACAAGTTAGAGTACAAGGCTATAAGCCATAACTATTTCGAAAACAAACTTTCGTGCAACATGGACACCAAGAGACATGCCATACAAAATATTACAACTCTAAGAAGATACAAAAAAGAAACGGAACACAAACAAAAGCGTAAGTGGGTTATTAGAAAGGCAATCTCTAACTTGTGCACAAGGAAACTTTTAATACTTTCGTTATGCTTCTCAATAATAAGTTAGAAGACTGATTTCAATTCTGAGCCGTATATGCTATCGTCTCAGGTTGCTGAGTTGCATGTTATCAAGAAACATATCTAGGAAGTTGTGAGACACCTACAAATGCTAACCACACATAGCTATCCTTAATCTCACCACACCATATCAAACACTGGTTATCTTTCTGCTTCTTTCAACCAGTTCAGGGTCAAAACGAACAGCGAGAGGTGTGGAGGCCACCGGGATGATACGTAACAACATATCACTGAAGCAGATGTTTCAAGATGACATAATATAGTGAATAAGGATCTCGATTACGCCCAAATACGTGCAACTTTACGTCGAAATCACACGTTTCCACCGGAGGCTAGAATTCCTACAGAGACAGTGATGATAGGCACGAAGTCCTCAGAAACATTTGTTTCGGAAAGGCAGAACTGTCAACATTGATATGTTGCACCTTTCGCAGCAAAGTAGATTTCATGAAAGCATCAACGACGATCTAGGTTGGTGTATTTTGCTCTGGCCTTCGATATATGGTTGGAAATCTTATTAACAACACCACCAGCATTCATACAACTACCCTAGTGCACCGTCTTTTTAAAAACTTGCAAAGGTTTATTCCCAAAGGTCTCTTCCTAACCTCGTAGAAGCACCTTGCACTTAAGATATTAGAAAATCAGTTTTAGAAAAATTACAAGAAAACATCATATAGGCCCACTGGATCTCCTACTGCATAGCCTGTGCTAACATGGCACCAATAGATTCAGAAAAAGTGGTAAATTAAATATTCTGAAATTAAAAATAATTTTCGACGACTTATGGCGTTTTAAAAACTCTTCTTTCTATATCATTAAAAAGAATTTCCTAATCTCTTCAACACTACGGAGTACCAGTACCCTAACCTTAATCAGCCTCATTCAACAGCTACATGTCGACGCCACATGGGAAGCTCAATGATGCCTTTGAAGTGAAGTGAAGACAGGAGTAAGACAAGGCTTCTGCCTTCGATCACCGATCATCTTCTTGATTGTGGTCGACTGGACTGGACTGGATCATGCAACAAATTGTGAGAAGCGAGAAGAGGTGCATACGCTGTTTGACGGATGAAAAGACACTAGAACACTTGGATTTTGCCGATGATGATTCATGCCTGTCGAATATCTTGTAGCACAAACTCGAAGATGTACAGACGTAAACCAACAAGTTTGCAGAAGAGTCAGGTCAGTGAAGATGAGACTTCCTTCAGGTGAACGTAGAGAAGACAGAGGTGATGAAGATACTCAACCACCACCAAGAACAACAACAGCAAGAATCAGCAATCATCATAAACGGGAGAAATCTAAAGGAAGTCGTCTCTTTCACCTACCTGCCTAGGTAGCATCGTTTCAACTACAGGCGGCATAGATGAGGATGCAAAGCTAGGATTGGAAAAGCAAGACAGGCTTTCATTAATCTGAAATCAGTGTGGAGATCTACTTCACTCCACTCAGCATAAAGCGTGAACAACATCCAGATTTTCAACATTAATGTCAGTCAAGTCAGTGCTTCTATATGGTTCAGAAACTTGGCGCATTACGAAAAGTATTTCCAATAAACTACAGCTGCTTACGCCCACTCGATACTGAAGATTAGATGGCCAGAATAGTAAGAATGAGCAACAAGAAACTCGAGGAATGAACCAACCAAGAACCCATCACCCAACAAATATATAGGAGGAAGTGGAGATGGATTGAGCACACACTAAGAAGGCCGATTGGGGATATCACGCGTCAGGTCCTCGAGTGGAATCCAAAGGGGAAACGACGAGTTGGGTGTCCGAGCCGATGGTGACATGGAGATCATGTGCGGAAGAAATGAAAGCTTCTGGGCAGTCGTGGAGCCAGGTTCAAAAGACTGCAGAGAACAGAGAGCAATGGAGGCGTGCTACTGAAGCGCTATGTTCCACTAGGAACCCAAGGGAAAAATAATAATAATAACTTCTTAGTATAATATCTTGTTATGTCGATGATTTCATTGTAGAGGATGTTGATATCTGCTTCATAAAATTGACCGGTTTGGTATGACTAATGATGTGTAGATGGTTCAAACAGGTAGATTTCACAACTCTGAATGCAACTCAAGATACAATAAAAGTTTATGAACAGGGCCATGAAGTAAAATTATTGTGCGGAGGCTAATGATACTACCCGGTCGTCTGAGCCGCAATCGACTACGTATGGTCTGTACTTAAGACTTATAGCTTGAAAGTCAAGTGCCTAAGTACATAAACACCTCGATTGGGCGCGTAATGCAGTCTGACAAAAAAGTTTTATTTTTACACTAAAAACACCACTATATGAGTGTGATGGTTAGTGGAGATGGAAAAACAAAGTCAAAGCATAACATTTTACTTACCATTAACTTTTTCTTCCAGCATTTCGAACAACCTTTACACAATGGACTGAAAGTTACACGAGCCAGTTTTACACGACTTCTTTTAGGCTTCTTACTAGACACTAAAAGTTGGTAATTTGAAGACGATTCAGAAGGATTTTCTGTCGCATGATAAACTGGGATAGAGGTGTCGTTAGACGAACGAAACCAATACCAAGAAGACCGATAAAAAGCGCCAAAGTTACGAGTCCAAGTTCGTGGTGATGAAATAGAAAGTGTAGTGAGTACACCTCGATGATCATTGGTACCAATGGGCTTTGCACGCTTACCACTAGCACCATAACCACCACCTAATTCTATGTCTCGCCAAATATTCCACTCAATGCCTAACAATGAGTAAGTAGTTGCAGAATACTCCTTTGATCGTTCAACCTGTTGATTTTCCTATTCCAAAAAAAAAAGAAAACTAAACAATAAAACAACAAAATGCATGCCTTCTAATGAGAACTATTGGCCAAAAGAGGACCAATTGAGGCTACTAAGACAGAAACTGACCTCACTGACACTTGTAGTAGTCTGATTACCTACCTGGATCAGTAAACCATAAAGATGATTAATTATACTTCTCCGTTATCCATGATCAAGTATTGATGATGATTATCGTGCCACTAATTAGTTCTTGCTTTTTTATAAAGATAGGTTGTTAAGCAGTTGAGCAACATGCATTCACAATAACACACGACCATCCTACAAATATTTTATAATCTTTAATACCCTCTTTCATCCTCTAATAATGATTTTATTTCATAGTTCGTTACTGGCTTATGCATTTAGCAAAAAGTCACACTTACTGTGGGTAGACTTGATATACTACTCGGTTACCCAGAACAAATTAGGTGGAGTGGGGACTGAACTCTAGACTCACTGCATGAAACGAACTTGAGTACTTAGCTTCCAAGTCAAATTTTCACACGTTTTGTAATTTCTTCTAACCTTCATGAAAGCTCCTGCTGTCAGTGTCTCTAATACCTTTAGTCAATAATTCAATTCAATCTGGTTCAGATGTCCATGTACTAAGCTATAAGCCACACTTATTGCGTGAGGGATTATGGTTGTCCAGGTCGCGATAGATGCTAGTGAGAGCAATATACTCATTTAAATGTGAAGACAACAGATTTAATGATAGGAAGCCAGTGAATCACGTCTGATCCTTCCAAAATAATTCGTATCCTGATGATATACGGAGATACAGTAACTGGTATGCAAATTAACGAATGATAATTCAGGAAATAGGCAGACAGTTTATGATACTCAGCGATTTATCGAAATATGTGTCTGAGAAGGTGAAAAGATAACTATAACCCATCTGAAAAACTTACTAACGAAAAAACCAATTGACAACTATCACTACAATGACCTGAGACCTAGAGGTTTGCGTTTACCTTTCATGTACAGCTTTCCGAAAACCAACAAAACAGAGGTCCAACTGAGACCCATATAACCAATGATAAACTCCACATTTCGAAAATTGACCCGACAGTTTGTGCAGTAGCTTACACCTAACTGAGACAAGCTATCAGTGTATGGTGTGATACTTACAAATCAGTCAAAAAGCTGGGAAACTTAAATATTTAAGATAATTTCCTTGTATTCGCCAACACTTCGGCAAAGAAAAAAAATACAGAAATCTTCTGTAGATAATCTGAATTGCTTCTTTCACCTAAAGAAGACCTTAGGCAGCTTTCAACATTGTGTATGAAAGACGTCTAATTTCGGCTTAACAACGGATCGCATCGGCAGGTTGATGGAGTCACCACGAAAAACCCATTTGGTCCGATATTTGCTGACATACACATGTCAAACAATGAAGTGAACACAATGAAACCTGCTATCAACGATAGTATATTTTGCACAGTGTATGTAGAAAACACATTAGTTATCTACAAAGATATGAATCACGCCTCAGAATTGTTTTACAACGGACTATGAGCATTAAAATTGTCTAGACTTTCCTGATTTATAGACTAAAGGATGCGATGATAGAGTACCGTAAGAATACGGGAACTGGACAATATCTAAGCCATAACAGTTTTGGTCCAACTAACTACAAGCCTGAACTGGTTAGAACGTTGTTCAACCTTTGTTTAGAAGACAGATTAAAATACAAGTTAGTTCTGTTTGAGACACATCTATTAGATAATGGTTATCCAAAAGGTTTTATCAAAAAGTATTCAGAATTATATATGGAGAGAAAGAATGTAGCTACAGATAACAAAAAGCCGGCGTTTATTTATTTGGTGTACAAAAGAGATGATATTCCGGAAAGTATAAGCAGAAGATTAAAAGTCTCTCCTGCTAGAACATATCCAACCACGAAACTGGTTCCTTTACATAGTACTAGCAGCATTATGTATCAGCCTAAAATGGAAAAGTACCCATCCAACACCATTCCCAACTGCATTTACGAATTCATATTCACTTGCCAAAGCAAGTATATCAGGACAGAAAGATGGAGCTGAGTTTATTTTCCCGAACGTGATCAAAACAACCTGCGATTGAACGATTCGAAATCGCTTACACGTTCAATCACAAGCCATTTAGTCGATTCAGAACACAGAACAGAACATCTAAAGCCTTTAAAACAACAAATCGGCAAATATCCCTCCCGTTGTTTAGCAGAACCATCAGCAATCGACCGCTTTAAACCGGACTACTACGTTCAGAATGAAACAATGATTAATCTAGCATTATCTCATTACTAATGTTCTTTTTCCTTACTGTTGTATCTGCTATCTCATGTTTTTTCGTCCATCTCTTTTTATGACCTGTTCTATATACATTATACAAAATAGCATTCACTTGATTTTTTTCTACAAAAAATACGTTGTTATCATGATGATCCCATTACTATTATCACTATTATTACTATTATTATTATTATTATTATTATTATTATTATTATTATTATTATTATTATTATTATTATTATTATGGCGATGATTCTTCAATCCCTAGTGGTATCCCCCACAGCTGCTATTAAAAGCTCTAGGATCTCCCTTCTAACCACCTATAAATGAACAAACTTTATTACCATTATTGTCGGTGCCAACATTTGTTAACTGTTTGCCTGTTGTATCTATATTTACCAAAGTACATGGTTACTTAGTTCTAACTCAAAAGCATGTTCCCCGTTTTTTCCTACACCAATTATCGAATAATGTCCAGACCGTTAACAGATAAGTGGAAGTCACGAAATAAATATATGCTCAATTTATTCTGCAAATCTTGTTCTTTTTGCTTTGATGAAAATAACAAGGGGAAACAAGTTGCATGAGGTCATGAAAACTGAATAGACATTTCTTATTAGTAATAAAAATCAACTCGAATGAATAGAATGTATGGTACGTTTAGTCATGCCAATTTCTGCTGCAAACATCTTTATCAAAACAACCTTTTCTATATTCGATTTCTTAGGAAATAACTTACTAGTAAAACAGAAGATCTAAAACAAGAAACCAGATACATTAAAGACGCCTTAATCATCAACAATTACCCTCCCAAATTAATTGATAAGCGCCTTAGGAATTGTAAGAAAAATATCAGTAACACAGTTACTAATAGTAGTAATAACAGCAACAATGCTAATAATAGTGTTGATAATGATGCTAATAGTAGTAGCGGCAATACTGTGAATAGAGAATTCAAAACCTCCACAGTATCACCATACAAAGAAGGCACCTCAGAAACACTACGGAGAATTCTCAATAAGGCTGGGATTAGAGTCCATTTAAACCTACAAACTAGCTTAGAAATAAGCTTTGTAGGTTAAGATCCTACTGACCCAATTAAGGAGAATGACTTAGTTTACCGAATCCCTTACAACGATTGCAAGGTCAAAAGTGATAGACCCTAGTAAGGTAAGGAATTTAGAAAAAAACTCAGCCATAGTTATGCATGCAATTACACACAACCATACAATAGGATGGGATAGGGTGGAAATTCTTAAAACTAACATAACAGGGTGGAGGGAGAGATTGATAACTGAATCTTTGTTTATCGAATCAACACCTCACACATGCAACAGAAATGACTCAGCACCTGTTCCGGATATATGAAAAATCTTACTACCCATCTCACAAAGAGACGAGGAAATGAGGACTGTATAAAGCATATCTTAAAGTTGTGTAGTTATCTTGATATGACTATGGACAATAAATTATGTCTGAAACGTAATCCAGTAAACAATACTGTTCCTCCATTGTGTGATAAATGTTACAAATCGATGCAATTTTGAGGGGCTTGCAAATATTTCAAATTGTTATTCATCGTAGACTGACATCAGTTGGAGGAACAAAGGACACCTGGGAGCACTGGACAGCTGTTTCGTCCGAGTGTGGGACTCCAAAGCAGTGCGAATCCACGACCCCGTCAGGGATCGAACCTGCGACCCTCAGGTTCCGTGACCAGCACGTCACCATTGAGCCACTGGGTCAGGATCCAATAGTCTATATTCCCAACTTCTGTTAGCTCACGACATAGCGCAACCGCACTGCTGAAGAGTCCCATACTAGGGCGAAACAGCTATCCAGAGCTCCCAGGTTTCCTTTGTTCCTCCAACTGATGTCAGTCTACGATGAATAACAACTTGAAATCAATAAAAATTGAGACTACTTAGTGATCTTTGAATATGCAGAAAACACTTTCCCGTTAGATTATGAAACTGGTAAAAACAATTTACTGAACACTATCATTATGAGGACACTACTAAATGCCCTTTGCATATCAATATACGCTAATTTGACATTGATAAACCAACAACAATTTATATCAACATGGAGAAAACAACTTCTTTATGAAGAATTAATTGTGTACCATAGAAATTCACCATATGAGTGAGTGAAAACGAATATATTTTTGCCAAATAATATCTTTACATGCGTATGAGAAAACCACTGAACATTGTCAGTGTATTAGGTGCGACTTAAATCTAACCTCGCCTGGTTAACTAGTTCACTAGTTACTAGCCGGTCCTAAGCCCGGGTAAACAGGGAAGGTTCGGCGTAGGGCTTGCAACCCTACACCGTAAAAACCAATCCAACCGCTAAACAAACTTCAAAGCACAAACAAAATATAAAAAACAAAAACAAACTTGTTCCTCGCTGGAATGGGAGAGGCGAAATAAGGCCGGTTGGTGAATGCCTTCGGGAAGCCAACTGGCCAATGTGTCTTCTCTCCCTCGATCAAAGCGAAAGTAAACGTGGGGACATGGAATGTCCACACCATGTTTGAACCTACCAAGGCTACCCAGATTGCAAACGAGATGAGAAAGTATAGTACTGAAGTACTAGGAATCTGCGAGGAGTCTGCAGATGGAATGGAATGGAATGGAAGTGTACTCTCCAAACTGTCAACTGTAGAGGAGTCAATAATCTACTGCGATATTGTCACCCAGACGACAACCACGAGCACACTGCTGGGTGTTGGAGTGGCTATCATGATGTCCTCTTGAAGAGCATCGAAGGCTCTCTCTCTCATGCAGTGAAAACCAATCTCCTCCGGTAGGATCATGATCATGACAGCAAGGTTCAACTCAAAAGGAAGGAAGGAGAGTCACAATCGTACAATGCTGCGCTGTACACCTATAAATGATGCAGAGCAAGAGAAGAAGGAGGAATTCTACAGACAACTTCAATCAACACTGGACAAGACCACACCCCAGTTGGTGACATCAAAATTCTAATGGGCGACATGAATGCCAAACTGGGAGTGGAAAACACAGGAAGAGAACTAACCATAGGTTGAGAAGCGCTCGGTGAGGTGATGAACGAGAATGGAGAATTGTTTGCAGAATTCTGTGCATTCAACGATTTGGTGATTGGAGGCCAGGCAGTGTGTCCAAGCACAAGGATATCCACAAAGCGACATGGAGTTGATTTCACCAGACACCAGGACACACTACACTAAAAATCAGATCGACTTTATCTCAATTTCAAGAGAATGGAGATGCAGCCTACTTGACACAAGGTCAAGAAGGGGAGCAGATGTAAACTCAGACCACTCACCATCTATTACAAGGAACCTACCAAATCAAGTTGAAAGCCTTCAATTCAAGGAAGTTGGTGATAGACCACAGTTCAAGTTGAACACCCAGAACAGAAACTGAACTGAGGGAGGAAACTAGAAAGAAAATCTTCACATCAGCCAGCCATCAAGACAAAATGGGAGATATCGAGCGACAACCCTGAAGAAACCTATGTGGATGAATACTGGAACTATTTGAAAGCTATGGGGTAAGAAACCTGCATTACCGTATTAGGAAGGAAGAAGGAAGAAGATAAGGAATGGATGTTGATGGATACATGGAAGCTGACAGAGGAGGGAGAGGAGGATGGTTAAGCAGAAGATAAACCAGTGCAGTGCAAGGATACACAACGAAAAGAGGAACTGAGTACAATGTATAAAACACTACACCGGACAAAGAAGTGAAGAAGAGTGCACACAAAGACAAAAGACACTTCTACGACACATTTGCAAGTGAAGCATAACAGGCTGCTAGTAGGAGAGAGAGGGACCTGACAACATTACATCAAATAACCAGGTTACTATCTGGCAGGGAAGGGATCAGCATAAATGAAACCAATAAAAGATGATGAAGGAAATAAAATAAGCAAAGAAGAGAGAAACGAAGGAACCGATATGCTGACCACTTCAAAAAGCTCTTGAACCGACCACCACCTGCACTTCGTCCAGAAATACCACCGGCATGCCAGCCACAGAACTACAAGTGAACATGAATCCTACGACAAAAGTAGAAGTCCTGAGTGCCATAATGCAACTGAAATGTAGGAAAGCAGCAGGACCAGATGGAATCCCATCAGAAGCACTGAAAACAGACGCAGAGATAACAGTGGACATGCTCACACCACTTTTGCAGAAGATGTGGAAGGAAGGGAAGGTACCTGACTACTGTTTGGAAGAAGGGCTACCTTGTCAAACTCCCGAAGAAGGGAAACCTGAGTGTTTGCAAGAAGTGGCGCGGAATCACGTTCCTGTCCACCCAGAGCAAGCAAAATATTAAGCTGCATCATCTTGGAGAGACTAAAGGATGCACTGGATTCAAAACTACGACCGGAACAGGCTGGCTGACTGGCTGACTGGATTCAGGAAGTACAAATCATGTGCGGACCAAATTGCTACGCTTCGCATCATCACAGAATAGAGTATAGAATGGCAGTCAACTAAACTCCACCTCAACTTCATCGACTTTGAGAAGGCCTTTGACAGCGTCAACCGAGAGGTAATTTGGCAGCTGCTGCTTCAATACTACGGAATACCGCAAACCTTTATCCGCCTCATTCAACAACTATATAAAGACGCATGCCACATGCCAAGTAATTCACAATGGGAAGCTCAGTGATGCCTTTGCGGTGAAGTGAAGACAGGAGTGAAACAAGGCTGTCTACTACTATCACCGATGATCTTCCTGATTGTGGTTGACTGGATCATGCAGCAAACAGTGGGGAGCTATGAGAAGAGGGGGATACGCTGCCTGGACTGCGGAAAAGAACCTAGTAGACTTGGATTTCGCCGATGACTTATGTTTAATGTCACACAAACTTGAAGATGTACAGGCGAAAACTAACGAGTTGGCAGAAGAGGCGGGGCAGCGAAGACAGGACTTTAAGTGAATGTAGAAAAAACAGAGGTGATGAAGATACCCGACCACACCACCACCACCACCACCAACAACAACAACAACAACAACAACAACAACAACAACCAATCACCATCAACGGGAGAAACTTAAAGAAAGTAGTCTCTTTCACCCATCCAGGCAAGGCAGCACTGTTTCAACTACAGGTGGCACAGACGAGGATGTCAAAGTCAGAATCGGAAAGACTGCAAGACAGGTGTTCATTAGCCTGAAACCAGTGTAGAGATCTTCTGCACTCCACTCAGCATGTGGAACAACATCCGGATTTTTAACATCAACGTCAGTCAAGTCAGTGCTTCTGTATGGTTCAGAGACTTGGCGCGTTACGAAAGGCATTTCCAACAAATTACAGACGTTCATCAACAACTGCCTACGCTGGCTCGATGCTGAAGATTAGATGGCCAGAATAGTAAGAATAAGCAACAAGGAAATCACTCTGGCTGGTAATGAACCAACCAAGAAGCTATCACTCAACAAATATGCCCTGGAAGGAAGTGGAGATGGACTAGATTGGGCATATACTGAGAAGGCCGATTGCGGACATCACGCGCCAGGCCATGATCTCGAGTGGGACCCAGATGGGAAGCGACGAGTTGGGCTTTGGAGGCGAGGGTGACATGGAGGAGATCGTGCGAGGAAGAAATGAGAGCTTCTGGGCAGTCGTGGAGACAGGTTCGAAAGATTTCAGAGAAAAGTGGAATAGAGACGTGCTACTGAAGCCCTATGTTCCATTAGGAACCCAAGGGATAAATAATAATAATAATAAATCTACTAAAAAGAATGAAAATGTACGTAGTGCGAACCAAGACATTGGTTAACGGATTAAGAAGCAATCAACTAGACCGAAGTGACATCATCATTGCATTACGTAATCAACTATTTTCTGCCCTGCACTTCATTAATTCGTACTTGAGTACTTCATATAATCCCATTTGAAACTATTATTAGACTATTAACTATTGTTCTACTTACTGATAGTTGTTAGTTCAATTTCTTCAGTTTATCTCACTCTTATTTTTCTTATCTTGATTCATTGGACATGGATATCAGATTGAAAAAACAAGAATTTAAAATACAACAACTAGCTGTGATTAATTTACAATACGTGATCTATTTGAATGAATACATCGGAAAATTTAATCTAAGACGAAACGTTCTGTTCAACATAACCCGTTTCTTCTGGTTATTGAAAAACTTTTCAACACTGAGTCACATGTATATGGGAGGTGCTAGCTTTGTTCAACATGTTTGAGTTATAATATAGTTAAAAATATTGAATATTTTCCTAGCTGTTAAAAATTAAATCAACTTACTTTAGGTATAAACAGTTATATATGAAATATATTCGGAAATAAATAACACCAAGTCTAGGTAGGAAAGAAATTTTCATAATTAAGATTGTGAAAAATCTTGAAAAGAAGGAATGTATATACCTCAACTCCATTCTATAGTCAATTTATTCCTAGAGAATAAACTATATTCGCTAATGAGTATACTTGTTTTCTCTTCAAAGCATGAACTGATCCATAGGAAGTTCATAATGAATATAAGTAAGTATTATCTCAAGAAAATCAGTTTTCTCGAGATAGAAAATAGATCTCACCAGTAAACATTATCACATACGAGAGCTTGATGTAGAGTCAAATGTCAACTGACTCATGATAATTAACAATGCAATGCAGTCATTTCAATTGGTAACATTGAAAAACTTAATCTATCAACTTTGATTGGCACTTACAACTGGATAGCTACATAAGTTACCATTTGGTAACCAATTTGTGATTACAGTAGTCCCCCCTATTAAAAGAAAACGGAGAGGAATGGAACTGTTTAACTTGGTAGATGAATAGTTACATAATACCCCCTCTAAATAGTTGCAACTTTTAAACCATAGTCATCAATTATGAAGAGTTGGCTGTTCAAGCAATATTTAAACTTACATCTGAAATAACTTTCACTTCTAAAATATTACGGCGTTTACTGGATTGCTGTAAGACGGGATGCAAAGAATTGTAACACCATCTAAAAATCACAAACAAATGGATATATTATATAAACAGACAGACAAAATCAACGTAAACCTCGCACAAAAGTGCGTTGCTTTGAGTTACCACACTTGACAGTAGCTTCTTTTCCTTACCTGACCCCTACATTGCTCATATGGTGATTCCACCATAAGCAAGTAATGCTAAGAAGACATATATGATCAAAGACTTGCAACCGCTTTATATCTACTACTTTTAACAGCCGTCTCACAGTCGCATAACAAGACCAAATGGAATCCAACGCAGTTTACTCGTTCTTTAATAGGTAATCGGATATCACGCCAGTGCTAGAGATGACAAGTTGGCAAATGCCAAACGAGCATTCTGTATCTGAGATGAGATTTCGTCAGCGACCAGCTCATTTGGGTTGATGTGGACTCCTAGTGTGGTTCGAAAGAGTTATCATGACAAAGTCTACCATTGCATTAGGTAAGATAATTTGAATTATAAGGAATCAACTTGATTATGCAGCAGTGAGCTTTATACAACAAACACAAAACGCTGTTTTAGGACGATGGAAACATAAGAATACTACAGTTATTTAATCACTGACTGCTTCAAACCAATGCCCCAGTTAAGTGTAGAGTACTAGGTTAAGACGTATGTTAGTTGAGATAGTCTCCCTCGACTGTAATAACCAAAACGTGATATACGTGCCTAGCCATTACTTCAACAAGGAATTTCTACTCATCATCATCAACTATCAATATAGGACCAGGTATTACTGCGTAACGGTCCGAGTTGCCACAGCTCATATCCGTATATCAAGTAAAAAGGCAGTGAAGTGAAAAATGAAGGAAAGAAAACTCAGTCTCAAGAAATATAAAGTACGGAAGGAGAGAAAGGAAGAATGAGAAAATGGTGAGATTCGGTGTAGCGTTGTTAAGATGAGGATAATGTGTGTATACATCTGCGCCACTCACATCGGTTCTCACCCATATCACCTAGAGTCTCCAACCACTGGTTCCTCTTGTCCCGTGGACCCCAACCACCTAGTCCGCATCACCTTACACGGCTCAAACCAACAGTCAAAGACTTCATACATTGGTGCCTCCATGTTTTAGTCTGGCCACCTCGAGCCTTTTCCCAGTCTGGACCCACTTCAGCCAACATTGTGTGACAAGGCAATCAGCGACTAGGAATACGCAACACATGTCCCAGTTAGCAATCTCACTAGATGAAGATTCATAACCTCGTCTACTGATTTACTTCTACTCCCTAAAACTCTATACTTGACGTCTGAGTTACTCACTTGGTGACACCACGGGATACGTCCTATACTACGAAGGCAACGGTGGTCAAACACCTGAAGCCTTTTTATATCCTCCACTTTCAATGGCTATGTTTCACAGCCATATAGTAGAACAGAGCAGACTGCTGTGCAGTGCACGTGACCCTTGACAGACAATCGGATATCATGGCGGCGCCACAGGTGGCGTAAGTTAGCAAAAGCCAGCCGAGCCTTTTGTATACGTGCAGAGATTTCATAGGCCACTGAGCCACCAGGGCTGATTCTACTTCCCAGGTAAGTCAAGTGGTCGACACTCAACCACTACACTCTCTATTGTTAGCCGCATAGGGGCACCGTTGAAGGCCGATCCTGGAACAACAGTTTGCATTTCGGTGGTGAAAATCGCATCCCAAACATTCTCAAATTCCCACTCAAAGTGTTCAGAAGACTCTGCATCTTGTCAGCGTCTTCACTTAACAGGACTATGTCATGTCATCTGCATATTCTAGGTCTAACGAAAATTCTCCTGTGATTAGGCCAACGTCTGTGTAATCAGGAGACCTCCACAAGGATATCTGTGATAAAATTGAATAAGAATGGAGACAGTGGGCACCACTGATGGACACTACTCGATGAGCACAGCTCCCTAGACATCTCACCATAGGCTCTAACACGCCCACAAGTGTTCGAGTAGAGAGCCTTCAATAAGGTGATGTACTTACTCGGCACGCCTTTCCGTGAGACACATTGCCATAAGATCAACGGAGTCGAATGCCGAAAAATACAGCTATTGTCGGGCGTCCGTAAGTGTCTGTGTTCCAAAACCCGGTGCAGTGTGAATATTTGGTCGATACACCTGTGGCCGGGTGTAAATCCTCCCTGGTTTTCTCGGGCTTGCTCTACCCGAGCCTAGAATCTTGGACACGATGCTCGTCGGGCTGATCACTCAATGGTTACCACATAAGGACTTCTCGCCTTTCTTGAAGACTGGAATAATCAGTGATTTAGACCAATCAGAGGGGATCATATTTGATTCCCATATACTGGTTAACCTAAGAGCATCTTACCACCGTCCTTACATACCTCATTAGTTAGTCCGTCTGGTCCTGCCGCCCTTCATCGTTTCAAGTTAACTGCAACTTTCTCGACTTCTACTAGTGTTGGGGGGGCCTACCTCAATGTTCCATTCAGGATTCGACTGGATAGCGAGCAACGCAATGGTGGCTGAAGGCCAGTTAAACTGTTCGTCGAAGCGCTCTGTCCATCTTTCCAGTCGTCTCCCCTGCGAGTGAGTCGCAGATCCGTCCTCCATTATGGTCTTACTGACCGTTGTTGACCTTTTTCCCCAGTTTCTCTTGATAAGTCTAAATAACTGTCTACTGTTACCAATTGCCGCTGCCTTTCCTATCTCTTTAAGCTTCGCTGGCCACTGTTCGCGGTCGTTTCGTAGACTTTTTCTGTCTACTTTTAAGTTGCGCTGGCTCTTCATTGTACCCAGACCCTGCAGGGATGCGTTCACGTGCATCCATTAGTTCAGAAGATGCTGCTGATATCCACTGGCTCTTTGTAGCCACTTTCGAAGTCGGCTACGGTCTTCAGCGCTACTTTTACAGCAGACTGGAGATGGCACCAAGCTAATTCTGAGTGAGTGATGGTGTTCTGTCCCGATAACTGCCTAGCCAACTTCTCACTGAAAGCGGCTTTGGAATTTTCGTTGTCAAGCTGGACTCGTAGTGGTTTTGTGGCCAAATTTTCCTTAAGTCCATTGAGACGCAGGCATATACGCGCTCGCACCAAAGCATGATCGTTATCCAAACACGTACTCCAGAAGGAGCAGCAGTCTTCCACAGATCCTCTCCAGCGATGACTGATAGCAATGTGGCGCATGTGTCCATTGCTGAGTTGAGCTCGGGGGACGCCACGTCAGACAGTGTTTTTTTCGTGTCTGAAATTTGTGCTAACTAAAAATAAGCGGCTGAGTACAGCTATAGAAGGTGATCACCGTTATCTGTTCGTTCAGCACCTAAGTGCCTTTCTGCCTCACTCAGTCTACCCACCTACACATTGAAATCACCAGCAACAATCACCACGTCTGAGCGTTTGGCTTTCGAGAGGAGGCTAGACAGTTTACAGTAGAACTCATCCTTCACTTCGTCCGAACTACAGTCAGTGAGTGCGTAAGCGGAGATGACTAAGAGACAACAGCGAGTTTTACCATTCCTTTTAGTTCTCATTATGCCGTTCAACGCAGAGGCGACTATCAACTGGGATCCAGTCTAATAGTGAGCTTTCTGCCCTAGTGCTTAATGCTATGCCTACACCTGCAAGACCACGAGAGCTAGCCATCGAATCTCCAGAAATTTTGTGGATTCACCAGATTGGCCGATAGAGGTTAGGTGAATAACCGCACTTGGGTCTGTATGCCAGTCTCACAAACACAGCACACATTCATGGCTCGAGTTGCTAGTTTCGGTTAATGAAGCCTGCTGACCAATTTGAAGGAGGGTGAGGACATTGAAGGCCCCAATATGTAGTTTGGAGCGTGGTTCAAGGAGATCAGGGAAGCTGTTCTGTGGATTCAGATCGTTGCCGAAGGCTGCAGAGCTAGGAGAAATCGAACATGACGTAATATCGCTAATTGAGACGTGAAGGAAGATTAGAGGGTAATGATGAGGGAGGTGGATAGCAGTTTGAAGAAACTTGAGTGCTGACAGTTGTAAGGGCGGTTGACACTTCCTGGCTGCCCACACCGTGGAAGGCTATTTCTTCTTAAGGTACCTGAAAGAGATTTATGTGACAACAGAGTCCATCAGACATCTGGTTGAGGCCTGTCACACTCAGTCTTTTGTGTATGGTTGTTTTGAAATTCCTACTGCCGTCAGATTAGAGAGGAAGTCTCATAATTGCTACAACATATTATTCAGACTTTCGGCTTATGCAAGTCTTGTTTGAGTACTGCGGAAAATTCAAAGTTGATGGAAAGTTTAGATATGACTTAAGGCAGAGTGTAGTGGCAAACAAACATCAATAATTGACTGTGTTCCCCCATCAGACTTAGCTTTAAGCTTCATCACCCCGCCTAATCAGTGAACTCGTACTACTTACCGGTCTTTCAGATTGGGGTTTGAGTGATAACCGAAACCAATGGTCAGAATTAATGGTAGGGCTCAAAATTAATTTCAGTGGTTCAGATAAACTCATACTTTGTTTTTATCTCAGCTACTTCACATTTCGTTGTACGCTTATATCTCTCTTCACTTTTTACCATACTTTGCTTACATTACTTTCATTTTCTTGTCTTTCATCGTGTCACTTTGTATTTTGATAAACTGATATGAGTTATAGTAACTTGGTCTGTCGTTTGGTAATGTCAGGTTTTATGCTGATACTGACAGACAGACCCCGCCACCCACTCCTACTTAAGTGACATCTCTTTTCTGTGTATGTAGTGTTGCGACAATTCAACCCTGCTTCACATGTGGTCCAATTTAAGACTGATTGTCTCAGACCTTTTACGACTAGCCTGAACAACAATTTTTTAACGCATCAGGCTTCTACTTTGGTTGTACTTTTCACAGCTCCATCTGTTGAGTTACTCGAATTCATCAGTTTTAATTACGTTTCTATTGACAGGATTATTACTGAGTAATTCTCGACCTCGTTATTTTCTGCATTTTAAGTTTGTGTGCACCATTTTTAGTCGTCCTCCCCAGGTACTGTCGTTTGTATTCTGAATGCACTATTCTATTAAGTATTATGTTGTTTTTATGTCCCTCAAAACTATTATTCTTGTGCTTTCTAATTCTAACTAATAGCCTTGTTTTATGTGCGTCATTACTAATCCACCAACACACTAGTAAAAAGACATGGTAACGGAAAACTGTAAGCGAAACAATGTGGATCATGGTATTAAAACTGCAGCAAAAGGTTACGCCGTCTTTTACTTTTCACTTGTAATCATATCACATTATTTTTGGATTGTAACGAAGTTCACACATCTGCATCTCTGCATTGGAGTCTAGTGGCTTTATTTACAGGTAAGAAACATAAACTGAAGAACGAACACAAATACACTCATAGTGCAAATTTCGAGCCACTAATTTCATCTAACCGCAATGAAAACATCTTAAGAATAGTTGCGCAAAACTTCCGTTGTGAATGGAGAATAAGACCAGTTATAAACAAGTCACAGTATTACTGTGAGGATTACATCCCACTACATCTGTGTACAGAACCTTTGATAGCAGACTGCAAGTTTCACATCTTTTTTAGTCTGACATAGAATAGGAAACCTATGGACTAACCCATTATTTGATCAATAGGTTTGGACTATTGTATAAATCTCACTAGGAATATTATTATGGAATCTAGCTTGAGGTCAACCACATGCGAGTCATTGACGACCTAGATGAACATATACACGTTGATAATGCATGTGGGTCAAAACCACGCAGTTCTGCATAGACTAGAGGCAGATGAACGATAGGAAAACTACTGAAGATAAAAACGATTTCAGGAATCTTCAAATAAAAACACCCAGAAACTTACTTTGGAGCAGCTTTCCGTTCACAAAAGGTGTTAATAAACCCATTCCAAATTCCCAAAGGTACAACCCCAACAGGCATCATCCATATAGTGGAAGTCTACGAAAACTGATATGAGTGATAACTAACTTACTCTGAAATCATCTCGGCACAGTAAACCTGTAACTGCCTAAATAATGTGTTGATTGGGGAACTAAACATACCTTTTGCAGCAAATTGTCATCACCAGCAACCAAAATGCCATCAGTACTGGACGGATCTAGTACACTAGTGAATTCTTTAATTTCAGAGTCGGTGTCTAAATACACCATTTGCAAGTCAATGCCAAACAGATTCAAGATAGGAGAAACATTACTTTCAAACTCTTTTAAGAGCTTACTGAAAAATTATGACCAAATAACATACCCACGGCGGGAAAAAGGATTAATGAACACCGTCAAGCGGCGCAGAGGCTGTGTACAGCCTACAGTTTTGTAATTCTCGTACTAAAACTGTTAAAACCGAGCAAAATTAACCTACAGAAATCTCAGAACATATTTCCCTGTGCAAAACATAATCTCTATTGAAATTGATGATTAATAGAGTACACACTACTTGTATTTATCAGCTATGAAATCATAGCAATAAACCAAACCCACTGTCCCGACAACAGATTTCTTCGGATGTGTTGCCACAGCACGCAATACCGCGGCCATCATATAGGGCGCGTTTTCAATTACTAATACCTTGTAATATTTCAATATCCTTTGAGCAGCTCGTATGAACCGACTGATTTTTTCGCGCTCCCTTCTAGGTCTTTCGTGAGGTTCTCAGGTTTTTGGTGGGTTCCGATGCAGTAGGTCTACCCATTCGCCTGGTGTGACTTTGGTATCAGCGACGGTATGATTCCTCCTAGAAATGTGGTGTATATGAGTTCCTCAAATTTAACATCACCAAGAAAATATTTGGACTCGTTGTAGATAGAAGACAGGAAGGACGAAAAGATGTCCGCCGAAAATAAGAGAGAAACTGAGGAGAAAAAGTTGAAGAGAAACATACGAAATTAGAAACCCAGGTGAGCTATGGTAAGCAATGGTGGGATGTCCAGTATGGAAGTATGGGTTGAGTCATGGTCACAACAATAGTTGTGGCGCAGAAAGATTCGGCAAGCAGGTAAGCGATGAGTCAGTTCTTTGGCCTAGTCCATAACGCAGTTGAATGTTGGTGAGCTGTGTGCCGCTACGTACCTCTCCGGCCACTTCTTGAAGCTTTAGAAAGACGGAGCAGTTGCAGTCTCGGCAAATAATACGTTGCAGTGGCAAAATGCTCCAGACAGAAGGTCAAAGTGTGGACCTATGCAGGCTTTCACCCTTTGACAGGAGATTCTCTCGGAGGTCCACTAGGACTGCCATAGGGACTTAGATAGCCTTCCACAATCTATATGACTTGAATTACTTAGTATCTCGTGGGCCATTTTCAAGTCACTGAGTAACCTTCCATAGCTAAATGAGTGAAGGTGTTAATCAGTCAGCCTGTCCTTATAGGAGTTTCATGGCATTCCTATATCACCCTTTGCGGCTTGCCTTTGACCTCTCTCCGGAAGGTTCACACTTCTTTTCGGGTATGGCGGTATAGTGACGTTGTGAACCCATAAATAAGATCGTACGTAGGTTTTGTAAAGCTTCACAAGGATTTCTGGGGTGAGGTCATCTAACTGTCTGCTTGCGAAGTGTATTACGGCCTAGACTACAGAGACATCCCCTAGATAACGGGAACTGGTCCCAGAACTGTCTGTTAGTGTCCGTCCCAAGCATTTCCTTCCGGTACTACGAGAAAGTTGAGTATCGCAAACAGAGTTGCATGCTTTCTGAAGGTTGAGAGTGGGAAGAAACATCGTCTGGCATTTATCCAAGTTGAAAGCCAGTCCGTTATCATTCAACCACTCTGCAGGTAGTCTGAGGTCACCTCGTAATGCATTCGATTCTGTTATGGACATCACAAATCTCTTTAACGTCACCAGCGTGAGGTAAAATCAGGCAGCAGAGATTCCATGGAAAGTCTTTCATCGACGGAAAAAGTCCCAAGGACCCAAGATTGCTGTCCGTGATACTCCGGTTGATGCTGTTCTCCAAGTTGAGCGAACCCTGATGACTACTAGGTAGAACACCTTGCCGCATAACCAGCCCCCAAGCCAGGACAGCAGCTGAGGGAAAACGGTATGTGTGACGGCCAAAAGCAACGGCGAAATCGAAGAAAATCACATAAGTAGTTAGTAATAAAAATACATTTGGAAAGATTAATTATGCGAACACATACCATTTTTACAGGCAACATCTGAATGTAATTTACTTATTGGAGCTTTAAACGTTTAGAAAGAAACACATCATCATGACATACAAAATCTTCTGGAGTAAACAATTGTCTAGATATTGCCGGTCGCAAATGTTGGATAAGAGTGATATCGTTAAACAACTGTGGTGAAAATTGATGAGGGTATAATCTTTCAGTATGGGAAGCAACAGCGAGTCATGAAGTCCATAAGAGTATATTGGATATCGAATTTTGAGAACAAGCGAATCCTGTGATATGTCTGTATTCAATGAGCTTGTGCTGTCTACAGACAGTAAGCGAAACTGGGGTGGACGGTGGGGGCGAATTTCGGTCTGGTATTGTATGATGTCGTGTAGAGTGTGGCAATTGTTTAGGTCTATAATGCTGTGAACAGAGCCATTTGAATAAACAAAGCCAGGGATGCATTTCTATCCAGTCGCTGTTGTCATATTAGCCTGGATAACACAAGAGGTTTCACCGTCGAACCGTTCGGTGATACTTCAGGGTCGGCCCGTCACATGAGGACACTTTCGGCCAGCTTTATATTCAGGTGAGTGGTAGTCAGGAGCGGAGGAACTTGCATGTTTGGGTGCAAACGGCATTTAACACCAACGTTCCCAGTTGCTCTCCCAACCAGAGCCATGAATTTAGGAGAGGCTGTAGTCTGGGGTGAATTGTCTAGCTCCTGGTGATTTTGCATCTGTAGGTGGTAAAATATGATAGTTTTCACGTGTTGAATAGGGGTTCGAAGTGTATCTCGCTGCTCAGTGTGTTTGTATGATCCGCCATCATAATCTGCGTATCGGGTGATAAAGGGAAACATAGAGACATGAGGAGTGAAGTTGGTTGTCCTAGGATTTGAGGGGGCATTTCTGTCAACTAGAGCATCAAAGGAGGAGTAAGGGGCCATATAGTCTAATAATCTACTTGTAGAATACCTTTGAGGTTTTATGTAGTACATTTCTCACCGCTCTAGTTTAAGCTGTATTACAAATGCTTAAATATGGTGACTTAGTTTTGCATTTGTGTACCACTGAGAGCTTTGATGTGCACAACAGGCTTAGGGGAAGGTAGTTTCCGTAATCTTGGGGGGTGGGAAGGTGAAGGGCGAATACCGGGTCTGATGACCTCTCATAAGGCCGGTTTCCAAAGGTCCCCACCATCAGATCGGCAATCTGTTGAGTATTCCTGCATTGTCTTAGTCCATCACTTCTTTACCTGTGCCATGTGCTGCCATCGCTTTTTCTCCCCTCAGCCTCTACTCTCCTTCCTAACCGTAGTAATATGGCCTGCATGAAGGAGGTCAGAGATTGTTGCACCGGTCATACAGATTGTTGTTGGTCAATTCTGTCACAGATTCACCACAATTCTACCACAGTTATCACATTAAATTGTGTTTTCATATTGTTGAAACTCAATCTTGGTTCCATTGCACTGTTTTCTACGTCCAGACTGAGGTAGCTGACGTTACCATACTTAGAACGTACAAGGTCCTGGTCTAAAAATTATTTCCGGACAACGGAGGCGACGTGTCAACGGATCTACCTCCAGACACATGGTAAGTCCCTTTTGATGCCACTTCATGTCGTGGCTCCAATGTTAGTCCAGTTGTTCACCTTGTAAGGCTGGTGGTAGAATAGCCTTAGTGAAATTGAAGGCACGCCAGTCAAAGGAAAGACACAAGTTGGAGTTGCTGGAGTTGTAGAATAAACATAGGGAAGAAATGATACAATTTCAACAGGAGTTAAGGCTAAAAGAAAGAAAAAAGACCTCAAGGGATCAAGCACGATCTCCTTTGTATGCAAGTGAAAATGAACGAGAATGGTCCGATGAGTCCGTTCATCCCCTGGAGCCAAACAGTGTCTACGAGCCACAAGATTCTGCTAATGTCGAGTATCCTTGTGAAGTGATCAGCCATAAAACAAAGGAAACGGGTGCAACTTTGTCCTCGACTAAAATATGCCCTGGGCTACCAAAGGCAGAAGTGTATGCTTTCTACGGAGGGCCAGCTGCCTTCTGGCAGCTCACGAGACAGTTTAAACCCTGACCTTCATCCAGTGTGCAGTTTGATGGTCATCGCTTGTCGCACCTGCTGCATCATCTCAAAGGGAAGGTGCGTGAGGCTTTGGAGGGTAAGCTTGTGGGCGTTAGATCAGGTGACGACACGATGCAGGATGTGGCCAATTCGGAGGTGGCAGGAGTGATTCTTTCGAGTCTGACCAACACGGAGACCTCTGCTGACTTGCGTATAAGTAGACGTTTCAATCGGAAAATCCCAGGCCTTGGAATGAAAGTAACATGATATTTCAGAATTCCGGTTCGACCCCAGTGAGACAACCTTGACCGGAAGGAGAATACCAACTGTTTTACCTACTCCACTTGACTCATTGGATATGATTACCCTCGATTGCCCCCCCGCCCACCAGCAAAGTCCGGTATTGTTTGGGATCCGCCTCTGAGTTCCACTGACCCACCCTTGTGAATAGATCGTCTGATGTTTGCGCGAAATCTTGCATTCATAGCCGTGCTACGTGGTGCTAGGAGTGAGGAAATAGATGATGTTAGAAAGTTTGAACTGTCTTTACTTCATCGGGCCTTTGAACCTAGTTATGGAACATGACTAAATACTAGCCGCCAAACAGTGTACTTCTCGGTGGCAAAACTGAAATGCAATTTTCTTCCGAATCTGCCCGAACTTAGGCGTCATTTTCTGACGGAGTAAACCAAGCCTTTTCCAGCCTATCCCTCAGAAGGCTAAAGGAGTGCATGTAATGGCTTCAACCCCTGCATTACCTGGTGCGCTTCCAACTTACAGGAACGGGCTTGTTGTTGAATCGTTCGATGACTGCTGAAGCTAGTTTGCTTATCTCTACGATATACTGGCTGGAAACAACACTACACAGCAGGCCTGATGATTACCCTGATACCCTGCCGTTGGACCGTGACTGCAGCTATGGTTACAACAAACAACCGGATGCATCTCCTAGGCATGATGACGTTC